TGTGGTTAGCAACATGAAGTTCAATGAGTAAGATGATCATTATCCTATGATCAGAACTCAATTCAGACTACTCTCAACCTACATACTATTTTTATTTTTACATCACTTATTTATTCTTCTTTATTAGATGCACATATATGTTTTCAAAAAAAAAAAAGAAAAAGACAAATTAATATAGTGTGTATATGACAGACAAATTTTTCAGTTACAGAAATGACAAACAAAAAGAAAAAATATATATATGTATATTTGTATCTAGATTATCTTATTTACGATAAGTTGTAAATGAAGGTGAGGTTGCTGATTGTGTTGACGTAGCTCCAAATGATGATGTTGCTGCTAAAATATAAATAATAAAATTGAAATAAAAATAAAAAAAAGAAATTTTTCAAAAGATGAATTAACTTACTACCAAAACCAGTTGTTTGTCCAGGTGTTTCTCCAAACATTGAGCCACCAAATGGTGATGATGTAGGAGGTGGTGATTCAAAAGAACCAAAACCTGATTGTGTTGTTGTCAGTGTTGTTGTTTCTGCAGGTTGAGCACCAACAAATCCACCAAATGAAAAACCAGTCGACGATCCAGACACATTTGCTTGCGTGCCATAACCAGAAAAACTACTACCAAATGCAGGTGTACTACTACTACTACTACCAAATAATGAAGTACCAGCTGTTGATTTAGCAGTTGAAGTAAATGAAAAACCACTACTACCAAATACACTCGTATCCGATGCTGATGCTGTTGAAGAAGAACCAAAACCACCAAATGTTGCACCTGGAGATGCTGTCGAGCTAGCACCAATTCCACCACCGAATGGGGATGCTGTTGTTGTACTACCAAATGTACTAGTACTAGGAGCCGTACTTGTTAAAGCAGCACTGAATCCACTACCAAATGGACTAAAAGGTGATGTTATTGATGCACTACCAAATAGACTAGTACTAGGTGCTGATGTTGTTGCAGTAGAAGTATTGAAGCCGCTGCCAAATAGATTAGAAGTTGATGTTAATGTTGCTGGAGCACCAAATAGACCAGTGCCCGATGCTGATGTTGTTGCAGTTGTAATAGTAGGAAAGCCCAAGCTAATACCAAGTGGAGTAGAAGCTGAAGTTGTTGCAGTAGCAAATAGACCAGTACTGAATGCTGATGTTCCTGGAGCTGGAGTCGTAGGTGTGCCGAACTCAGTACCAAATGGAGTAGAAACTGATGTTGCCGCAGTTGTTGTTGTAGTAGGAGTACCGAATCCGGTACCAAATGGAGTAGAAGCTGATGTTGTTGCAGTTGTAGGAGCACCAAATCCCATACCAAATGGAGTAGGAGTTGCGGATGTTGCTGTTGTTGTAATCAATGAACTAGGAGCAGATGTAGTTGTAATAGAAACATTACCAAATAATAATCCGTTATTTGTTGTTGTTACTGTAGTAATACCAAATGGAGTAGTCGATGATGTAGGAAGTGTTATATTAAGTGCATTACTACCAAGTATTGGTTTTGAACCGAATGAACTTAGACTAGTCGATATAATTGGTTTAGTTGTTGGAGATATTGATTGAACAGATGTTGTTGTTGTTGGAGCTTGATTTGTTACATGTGAAGTTAATGTATTAGGAATATTTCATTTAATAATTTGATTTGTTGTAGAATTAATTTGTGGTTGATTTAAATTTGATGTTGAAGTTGTTGAAGTTGATACTGTATTATTATTATTATTATTATTAAGTAATGATCGTATAACACTATCACCTGATGTTTTTGATAGATCAGTAGGTGTTTGAATAAATGGTTTATTTTATTGAATTTTTGATGATATATCTGATGATATTCCTGGTGTTGCTGGTATAACAGAAATATTTGGTATAGGTGAAGGAACAGTTTTAGCTGGTGTTTGTACAATATTTGTTGATGGTATTGTCGTATTTAAGGATTTTTTGTAACAGTTGGTGATTTTGAATGAGTTATTGTTGTTGTTGTTGTAGGTATAGTTGGAGTTTTATTAATTGATATTATATTAGATTTTTGTATTGATGATGATAATGATGATAATGGACTTGTTGAAGTCGTATTTGATAATTCACGTAATGGTTCTGGACTTGCTGCACCAGAATATAGATCGATTGATGCTCGAACAATACGTAACATTTGTTTAAAACTTTCAGATTCAATTGTTGGTGAAGAATTTGTTTGTATAGGTGTTTGTGGTTTAGTTATTTCAATAGTTGAAGATTTTTTTTGTTCATTTACTGATGATAAATGAATTAATGGTGATTGTGGAACATAAATTTCATTAATATTTGGATGAGTAACATGTAAATGTGATAAAATTTCTGAATCTAATGGATGAAATAATTTCTGAGACGACATTATCGTCTTTGTTAAATTTGAACTAAACAAAAAATACAATAAAGTATGCAATTAGAAAATTTATAATCATACTCATTTTGTTTGCTACTCAATAAATCTTTATTGAATTTTGTATAAATAATTTGTAAATCTTTTTCTATTTCAGATACTTTATGACTAAGTTCACGTAGACGTTTTTGAATTTCTTGTTTCATTGTTTGAGATGTATTTAATAGTTCTAAATCAGGTAGAAAATCTCTAAAGAAAAAAAAACAAAATACAAAATAAATTTTGTTCTTTTCTTTCAAACGAACTCATTTTCAATATCATTATCATTTCTAGATAATGATTTATTATGTATTGTTTTATGTGTTAATTGTAATAAAACATTAAAATTATGTTTAACTTGGTCATATTTATTTTTAATTGAATCAAGACGTGTTTGTGTCCATGGATCAAGTTCACGATCTTTTAATAAATGATAAAAATTTTCTTTTTGACATAATTTTATTTGATAACGAGCATTTTCAATTCTTGTTATAGATTCTATATGTTCACTTGTCATTGTTTTTATTTATTGAATTGATGTCTAAAAGGGAATTTTTATTTTATTTTATGTAATTGATATAAAGAAAAAAAAAGGAAGAAGATTTACTTGAAGTGATGTTGTCATATTATTAAGTGTTGTTATTAAAGTTTCTAAAGATTCGTCAAGATTAACAGTTGATTCAAATGTTTTAGATAATGGTATTTGTAGAGTTTTTAATTTCGATTGGATTTCATCAACCTAAAAAAAAATTAGAAAATCAATGCATATCAAAAATAATTAAATTTTAAGCATCCAAATAACATATGAACAAGATAATCTCGATCCAGCGAGACCGGAACCAGGATGAACACTTTTTTGTATTAGGAATGATGTATCAAATTATGATATTCTCACAAAGACCAAAACTAGGCTCAAAAATTTTTCTGATAGAAATCAAGACTAAAAACGATTAGTTTCGTTCATCACTACATCCGAGATACAACATCATTTGATTTCATATATTTGGTTATAAGTAGATCTCTATAATGTACTAGTATCCGAATATGAAGGATATTTTTCGTATAAGAACGTCTATACAATCGAGAATTTAATTACAAGAAGATTTTTCGTTTCTATATTCGAGTTTACTTACGTTATTAATAACAAGTAAACTCATTTTTTTGAAAATACGAAGTGTGTTCAGGGAAAAAAAAACTTTGCATTGAGATTTTGTAGATAGACGAGTTCTCTACAAGTCGCATTATTTAATAATCAAAAATACGATTTCAAGTTGCAGGATTTGTCAATGAAAATATTAGCGAGAAGAAATTCTCGAGTCAAAACATATTTGTATTTTTATTTTACGAAATCACATTGTTAAAGAATAAAATTGCTCAAATAGAGAAAAAAAAATTTTTTTTTAAATCAATTTTATAAAATCTCGATTTACAGAAGGCTAAAAACATGATAGCATTGTCTCATATAGATTTTATTATGGCTCTCATATCTCATTGTTAATTCTCTATCATAAACTAATAAATCATTCCTCTTGTTTATCAAATATCAAACATCCTTAAAAGAACACTATTGTTTTATTGAAATAATTCTATCAAATATATACAAATTTATCGTATAAATCCATAGTGATAGTAAAATTATACATATCATCCATCGGATGTCGTTCGGTGTCACATTACGGTTATGAGTAAGTCTCGGTGAAACTAAGAAGAGCTTAAAAAGATTCGGAACAATGTTCCACTGTTGAAGAGTTATGGCCGTTTTAATGAAATTTTTACTCAGAACAAATCATTTTCGAAATAAAGAATTTCGAGCTAAAACTTGACCTATAGGCATACTTGAAAATTTTCACGAAAGCAAATTTATCTTTCTTGAGATATTCAATATCTAAAAACAACAGCGATTAACCATAGAAGGATGCAGTAATCGAGTCCACCTGGAAATTGTGAATATCTAGAGAAAGATATGTTCGTTTTCATTGAAATTTTCAGAACTATCAAATGTGCCTTGAGATATAATTTCAGTTCGAAACTCTTTATTTCGGAAATTTCATTAAAACGGTCATAACTCTTCAATAGTTGACCATGGAGCAAAATCCTTTTAAGCTTTTTTTTTCTTTACTCTCACCGAGATCTACTCGTAGCCATAATGCGAAGTCAAACGGTGTCCGATAATTTGATCATATAGATTTATTATCGAGTATTAATTAATAAAGCCAGAGTTGTACAACATGAGATACGATTAGTTCGTGTGTTTTTTTTTTCATGAAATCGAACTATTATTTTTTTTTAATTATCTATTCAAATGTCTAACACAAAGATTTTAGATTTCGAGTATAAATACTCATTTTTCTTTTGTAGAAGTTATTCATTAAGGATAAAGTTAAATTAGATGTCAATAATCATCATTTAAATTAAAAATTTTCTATTTTTTACCATTTGAGGAAGTTTTTTATTATTAGAAAATGTTGTAGATGATTGATCATTATTTCTTGTAACTAAAATATATAGAATAATGATAAAACATTTTTACAAATTAAAATGAAAATTTACTTTTTGTTGTTGTTATTTTATTAAGATTATTCATATTTATTGATTTCGAAAGATCATCCATTGTTGATGTATTGGGTGTGGGTGTGATTGTGGATAGATTCTTTCAATACCCACACCCACACCCCGAAGTGTTAAATATTTTTTCTCGTGACATTCTTGTTCGATGTTGATTGATAAAATTTCTAAAGGTTTTGTCAATTTTTCTCAAGGTGACACCATGTTGTTTCTTATCCGATTTGAACTCAAAAGATTAATGTGATTTATACTTGGTCTGTATGTTCATCAGTGATATTTAGTTTGAAATCGGGTCATTTCATATAAACCACTTTAATAGCAGTCTGCTTTTATATTGATAAATGTACTTTTAAATCGGTAACATCATCATATTTCATTTCACGTAAACAATCGAACAGTATACAAAATTCATTCGTTCAATTTCTTTATCACGATAGTAATTAGACTTTTTCTCATCAACAATAGAATTAAGCTTTGTTCTTAAATCATGATTTTTTGAACCTATGTATGATTTTATACCCGAAAAATAAGAAAATTCAATTGAAGAAATTTGTAGTTTTAATATCTTTTTTTTTATAAAGTTGGTTGAGACATGTATGTGCTCTCAATTGAGAAAATATACAGATCAATTGTACTCTTGGAGCAAAGTATGATATCAAAAAAGTATCTGAACAATTTTAATCACGTCCGAATTTCTATCGACTAGCAGAAATATGCTCTACCACTCAATTCACTACTAAGTTATTTTCTAGTAATACATTGTGATGAATCTCAAGAAATAGTGCAAATGTATCAATGTTTTTGGACCTGTATTTTCTATTTTTTCTAAATAAAATCACTCTTAGTAAGCATGCTTTTATTACATGTTTATAAATAATACTATTACTCTTGACAAACCTTTATTAGATTCTCTGTATTTTCTTTAGCTGATAAACATAACACTCACATCCACACCCATGATAAAAGAAGCGAACACGCATAATGATAGTACTAACGTTTATTTTTGCCACTTGTCTACAACAGTTTTAAAAGGCTACATCACGAAATACTTACGGATAATGCGCTCTAATTTTGACTCACATTTGCTCGTAGCTGTAAAACAATCCGGTAGTCTGATCACAGTCGATTAAGAAAAAACGAATGCAGATGGAGAAAGCAAAACAAGTTATACTCATTCAATCTTGAGATAGAATCACCACTCTCTTGTATTTGCCATCCGATATACTATGTATTCATATATTTCATGATTACTGTTTCCACTATATTGGTTGTAGAATAACACATATAAAGTAAAAATATACAAAAAAAAACAACTATTCTGTTTATATTAGTTATTTACTTCAAACACTCGTAATATTTATTTAATTTTACCAACATAGTCAAGTGTTCAATAATAAAATAATTAAAAAAACAGATAACATACAGATTTATGATAGTACACTAACGTTTGTAAAAGTGTCAATCATTCAGAGTATTTGAAACGGCACCTTATATTGCCTAAAACAGTGGAGAAGTTGCGAGGTTACTCTTATAAACGATGAAAAACAATCACCATTTTTCTCTCGCATGTAAAACGGAATCGTTTAGAGTCGTTTCAGTTGAAAGCCACTGTTCAATATTAAGACCATATTTTGATCGTATACTATTATATTTACACCGTTTTCTTGTCGTATGCGGCTCAATTTAATTATTCATATGTCACTCTAGGTGGCATCCTACTTATACTTTCTATTATTATACGATGCATTGCATTACATAAATGGGATTCCGCCTGCATACGGATTTATTATTATAAACTATATTAAAATTAGATAAATGAAAAAGGGTGACGCATCGACACAATAATCATATCTAGTGTGAGTAAAAGTGCCATTCGGTATCTTTTTAAATAAACTTGATCACTGGTAAAAAATTGCTAATTTCAAAGATGTAATCTCTATCAAGTAACTCACTAAAATCTGTTTTTTTTCGCCGTTTTTCAACGTTCACTAGCTGGCTTTTCGATATGCGGTGAGCAGCATCAATAGAAGTTGAATAAACTTCTTACTAGGCATATAGAAGACCAAAAAGCAAGTCCTATGATTTATAGAACTTACCTTTTGAAACAAAAATGATGAAGGTAAAATATGTGAAGATGTGTACATGTATCCGATAACTTGATATACATATCATGTCCATCATCGTGTAACAAGAGATAGACACATTTTTGAAAAGTGCATGTCATATTGTCAAATAGATCTCCACAAAATCTATGCATTAGTGCTAGAACTAGCTCAAAAAAGTTAATTAGAGTCTTGTATTCACAAAAAAAATCAAAATTTAAGAAGCCTACCAAATATCACCAGAAAGTATCTGTTGATGTTTATAAGATACTTTTATTGATGCTATGTGAAAACGACTTGAAAACAGGGCGCAATAGTCGCTCTATTCAATCTGAAGTATTATAAGCATAGATACAAAATATAAAATGAATGATAATATTTTTCTTAGAACCTACTAATTTACTAAATTAAAATTCGACTAATAAATCTAAATAACACAAAAAAGAAATTAATAAAGATCAGCAAAAACAATACATGTGCTTGTATTATTTATTAGTTTGTTTAACTTGACTAGTGCGAAAAAAATGTTCATCTTGTCATATTATTCTAGGCATTTGTTAATCTACTTTAACAAAACTTAATTTTTCTTTGAATAAGATTAGATAGATTTTATTCATCTTAGGTAAAAATAGCTTCACTTCCCCAGGAAAAGTATTAAACAAATATATCAAAACTCATCACTTTAATACTATTGAATCTCATCGACGGAATCCGATCGAACCGGAAAGTCGGAAATTGCCACACTGATCGGATCTCAACTGGTTGAGTTCGTCCTGAGTTGTTGTATACGTACACAAAAAGAAAGGACGACTTGAATGTGGACACTGTTGTTGCATTGAATGGAACAAGAAATCTATTATCTCGTTTTCAAGTAAATATTATATAAGAAGTGAGATCAGTTCGATTTAGTTTGAACAAAAAGGAGAGACACGTCTATGTCTATTATCAATGTATTATAAATGAAACAGATATAATAATTACTACGTAAGGCCAATAATGTCATTCATGCACATTTCTTCTAGTAGTTGAGTCTTTTTTTTTAATATAAAGTTTTGAAATAGGGTCTCAGTTCATGCTTCAACGTATTTCAAAAATTCCAAAATGATTAACAGTATTATAATAACGTATTCATTTAAAATGTCTCTACCAATAGTTTTCAGACGTGACTTTGTATTTATTTCACATGAAACATGTCGTTCTGCAAAAAAGTTAAGGGCGTTTCTTAAACAAAAGTTTTTCGTTTGCATAAAACTTAGACAGTTGACATTTTCTTAACTGTGACGAGTAAAAATGGCAAAGAAGAATGTAATTTCTTATATGAACACTCCTGAAATAACTTTAAAAGCATAAACACTAGAGACTAATTCGTTTAAAAGCAGTTTCTACTTTCGATACTATGACAATAAATCCTTGAGACATAATACTTCACTGGAAAGAACAATCTTTCATAATACATTCACGGATGTTCAAATGCCATATTTATATCTATGAAATCACAGAAGTCCTAATCTACATAAATCAATATAAGTCTGGAAATAAATATGGGTGTACTAAAACGACTAAGCAACAATCATTCGTTGTTAATTGTGTAAATTAAAAACTTTAGTTTGAAACAAATAATCCTTTTCAAAACAACAAATTCTGTATATAGAGTGAGCCCTGTTATGTACTGTATCTGTAGGGTTTTTTCTAAATCTTGAGGCACAATAAAATTAGTTTATATGCAAACAGAAAATAACTCCTAATCGACTGTTTTCATATGAGCCTTAAGTACTTGTGCCAGTCTTTCAAATGATATATTATTGAATAATACCTTGCCGTGTTATAATAAAAATATGAACATGAGAATGTACGAATAAGTTTCTTGCAATCGACCAAAGTGAATTTTTTTAAAGTTTTTCTAAAAACTTTTGAATTATGTCACATAAAACATAGCGTAATAGAAATCAATAATTATTTGTCTTATATGGTTATTCGACACTCATCATGATCCACGGGTTACATGTTTAATGAAGTTATGCGCTCAATAATCGAATCGAAATGGATAAAATATATGAAAATGTTGTGCACAGAAAGAGATACAAAGGACAAAGATTGTTTTTTGAACTATTGATGAATTATTGAATAATCAAGTTTTATCCAAAGAGAATAACGCTAAATTTGTAAACGTATGGTTTACTGAAAGAGTATGAAAAATATTAAAGAAGGAAAAGTAAAAGAAAAAGCAATTTTCAAGTTTAAAATAAATAAAAACTAGATTAAACAAAGAATGAAAAAAAATAAACTTGTAATGACTGCACAAAAAAAACATGATTAATAAAATTTCTGAAAAAGTTGGCAAATCAATGTTAAAGTAATACATATTTATATAGTAAAGTGTTTCTTTAAATAACATATCTTGCGGATCGATTGCAAAAAAATTTCTCGTCACATTCTTCTGTTTATATTCTGATTATTACAGGAGAAGATATTATGAAATAATATGTCATTCGAAAGACTCACATAAGTACTTGAGGCTCATATAAAACACATTCGGTTAGACATTAATCTCTGGCTGCATATAAACTAATTATGTCGCGCCTCAAATCTAATGAAACACTCTGTCAAGTATAAATTTATAAAGGTGATGCTAATAAGATTGAACATCTTGTAAATTATTTATTGTAAACTTGCAGCATCAAATATAATTCCATTAGAGAAAAATTAACTGCAGTTGATAGCTTTTAGTTTTGATTCAAATAAAAATGTTCAGTGTTTGATTTGATGTGTATGTTTTAGAATAAACTGTCATATGTATAAAGAAATCAAAGTATATGAATGACGAGAAGTAGGATCGATTAGAGATATCCTTCGCGTTCTACAAAGAAAAAATAGAAAATAGTTTTTTTTCTTTTTTCGTAACTTTTAACTAAAAAAAAGAAGCATACCAAGAATGAAATATAAACACATGCCAATAAGACCAAGTAATAGAATAAAGCCAAAAACGATACATATCCATGCCCAACATGGACAATCAGCATTCAATCCTAAAGCTCGAATGAGACTGAATGAAGCAGAAGGTGGAGCATTTGAGGTTGTTGTATATACTGTTGGCCTTGGTTCAGGAGAGACCTATAATTCTATTTGCTTATAAACTCATCTTAGTATAATTACTTACTGTATACATTTCTCGTGTAGTAGCTAAAGGAGGCACTTTACGATCGGGCATAAAAATTGTGTCTTTGATAATTGGCCGATTGATAATCTCAAATGAAAACTGATAAAAGAATTTTAACAAAAAAACTACAAAATACTTCAACAGGTCGTTCAAATGCTTCATCACGTTTGTAATAAATTGCTTCATCTAAAAGATCTGTTTTACCAGGCTTACGAACCTATATAAACTCGAATAAATTTCGAATTAAAATTGTAATGAATGTTTCTTACATAATAATTTGGATTTAGATCTTGTGAGAAACCACTTGAAATCGGCATGTTTTATTAAATATTCAAAATCGTCTGCTAGGCGATATAAGGTTGAGAGAGAAAAGGAGTTGTTAACTCGGTTTTTTTTACTTTTTTTTTTTATTGTAAATCGATCGCATTCATTCTTCTTCTTCTTAACATATGATGAAATGTAAGATACAACTAACGTATATCACATCACTAAAGTGATGGCATATATGTATATCTCGAATATCTCATACTCAATTCATAATAGAAAATGTGAGAAAGCGTATTTGTTTTTTTATTCAAGTTCAAAAATGGTTGATGACATTATATTACAGTAATTCGAAGTTGAATAACAAGGTTAAATTAATACTAAACAACATCAAGTAAAACAAAATCATTTGATAAACATGGAACCTTTTAAACAATATCCAAATGAAAATTTTCCATTAAAAACTAATAAATTAGCGTTGTCTATAAGGTATATCGATATTCAATCAATAGATACCAGACAAACAGAGTTCTACCAGATTATTTGAATATATTCTCATTCTAAATCAAGGACAAAAGACAACTAGTTTAAGGTTAATTCTGTTTCATACTAATCTCATAAGCATGTCTGTTATAGTTCATGAGAATAGAACGACCATACTAAAGTATCTGTCACGTCTGGGGAAGGAGGTACGAGCAGTATTTTATACAGATTTCCTCTTTCGAAGGGACAATTTAAAAACTGTGAGAGAATCAGTTCGATCTTTAGAGTGGTGTTACCCCGTTAATCTTTATGATGAATATAATACGGGGGAATGGACCAAAAGTTTAACCCCTATACTTCAAAACTTCTTTTAGATTGTATTTCACAAAAGGAATAAGTTAAGAAAAAATAAATTAAGTGACTTTCTGACGAAGTATGACAATCAAATGATTGTACACGTGTAACATTAATTTCATTCGTTTTATCTCTTTTATTTGTCGAGCGAAGATTTATTATGGTTCACATTAAATTTTATTTTTTTTTTATTATGAAAAAAAATCAAAAATACAGTTGTGATATTCAAGTGATATTAAAAAGAAATATAATAATTGATAAAAACACATGTAAGAAAGAAACTGAATTAGCAGATGTTTCATTTCTCTGCAATAATTCAAGAACTACATCTGGATGATCAGTTATAAAGCCATCCACTTGTACTGTATTCCAAAAATATTTAACAAGTTCTTCAAAACGACTACCAGAAAATAGATCTTGTCGAAATGTATATGGATAAACACTAAGATTATATTGATGAGCCCATTTTGTTAGATTAGTAGTACGTACGATTGCACCATTTACATCATAATCAACAACTAATTGATAATTAGGTGCTAATCCTTGAACAATTTCTGATAAATTTTTAATACCTACTTCACTTCGATAAAAATCATAATCACTTGATGATTCTTGAATGTCATTCCATGTCATTAAAGCAAATAAACGCAATTGACTACCAAGATCTTTACGAATATACATCAATTCTTCAATATGAAATGTTTGAACAATAATTGGATCACTTGATCGTGTTAAATTATAAGCATTTAATGTAGCAAGTACAATAGATGATATTGATTTATTATATTTTGAATGATATTCAGGTTTTTTTATTTCAATAAGTAATTGACGTTGTCGACCTGTTGCACGATTAAGACCATATAGTAATTCAATTGTTTCATTAAGTGTTGAAAGATGAAAAGGTACTTTCGATTTTGAAGGAAAACGTAATGGATAAACTTGTGTACCATTCAATGGTCGTACTCGTTCATGAATATTTAAACTACGCAATTCATCAAGATCAAAATCAATAACATAATTAAGACCATCTGAACGATTTCTATTCGGATACACATCACCAACATTAGTTACTCCATCCAAATAGATATCTATAAAAAAAAACAAATCAAATAATTATTATATTACAATAAAACATCATAGTGACCATGAATAACAATTAATTGATTATCTCGACTAAGACATACATCGATTTCGATTATATCAGCACCATATGCATGAGCCATTGATTGAGAAGCTAATGTAAGTTCAGGTAAATAAGCAGTACCACGATGTCCAATAACAAGCGGACGTTGTAAACATTGACAAATTCCAAATGTATAAAGAAATAATAGACAGCTTAACATGATTAATATATAACGTACTATGAAGTGTTGCACTGGATATATTTGTGTATTTATATGGGTAGAAATATATATCTTGGTACTTTTTTATTATAAAATAGTGAAGAGCAAATATTTACAGTATACATTAAAAAGTTGCTTAAAAGCAATATAGTTTTTCTTTTCTACGAATTATACTTTTGTCATAATAACAAAACGATGTCGATAAATAAACATAAAACCGTAAAAGATAAGTTTCCACTAATATCGATTTGTCTTTCGAACTCTAGTTACAATTAATAGATTTGTAAAAAGAAAAACCTACGAAAACTGCTAAGATTTTATAGTTGGAGAACATTGTTGATTCTTTACACATATATATGTATCCAATTACTTTATCAAAATGATCATAAATGGTATATCAACTTTAAAATGATCCATAAAATATTCAAGTATAGCGAAAAACTTGGCAAAAACTGTAGATTAATATCTCTGCGATATGCACATAGAAGAATAAATAAATTATATTTTCGAGCATCTGTTATCTATACCTATATTAACAGTCTATTAGACTGACAAGTGATTTATGATTTATGGGCCATAAAGAATGAGACACTTTTATTTTTTGGGGGATGGGGGCAGCGCAGACAGAATTGTGAGACTTCGTTTTGTATACTGTTCCATAGAGAATTTTTCGTTCTACAAAATTATATTTGTTGTTTTTCAAATCAGTATATTTGTCATCAAAAAATTCAAACGATTGAAAGCTACTCAGTCCGCCAACTGCAACTAGCGAAAAACTGATAGATTTTCTCAAATAGTAGTTATGATAATATTTCAAATATCCCAGTGTTGTAAGATTAGCTATAATATTATGCATCTATTGAGATTCATGAATGTCAGAAGAAAATAGGTGATTGCAATTGAATCATCGAAAAGATATCAATTTTTTTAGTTTTGATTGACAACCAACACGTATTTGAAGAACACAATAAATAGTTTTGTAACATGAAAAATTTTCTATCGAATAGGATAAAAATAAACGTTTTAAATGATGTCTGCGTTGCGCAAAAAAAAGAAATAAAATTGTTCTCTTCTGTGTGGGTTATCCAAAATATTCACTTCAACCTTGATTATCAATTAATAAGAACTGATTCATTATATGTTTTTCAATATCAAAACATAGTAAACAGTAGATAATTACTAAAGTTTTTCGTGCTAAATTATAACTAAATATCCAAAACAATCTTTTAATGAAATCTATGAACTTCAATTTCGTCATAAATAATTATTACCGCGTAGATCGAAAGACTAGTAACCAAATGTTCGATTATTTTTTTTTGTTCCCTTCAAGATGTTTCCTATAAGTTAAAATCTATGGGTTAGAAGCAGAGGTTTGGCTCAAATTTTGTTTGAAACTCGTGAGGTACTTTTTGAAAGTCTGTAAACATTAATTAAGACAGGATTTATGAGTCGAAGTTTCTAGTGCAAATATTTGCTCATTTTGACCTGCTTGAAAGTATTTTAGACTAGCCAAAAACTAATGGATAATGAGTAGAACTTTGTGCTGTATTCGAATATAGGACTAAAAATATTCTGTCTATTTTTGTTCAAGGATTGATTGTAGATGAGTAAACATAGTTACTTGGTGAACTAATACGGAAATCAACAATTGATTCATTCTATTGTATAGACTTGTATCTAGAACCACTGCTACTTAGATATGCTCCAAATAAACGAAGAATGCACATTAGATAAATATCATAAAGAGATTAATTTATCTCATTGATTAAGACTTTTATCTTCTAAAGCGTATATTACGGTTCTTTCTATCTTCTTTCTGAACGAAAAAAATGAAGATACGGATCTTATCTTGCAGTATGATTATTATCGTAATCAGGAGAAATTGATGACTTATAAACATAGCAATTGTATGCATGTTATCAATTGATATGTATTCGTTTTTTTTTCTGGTTAGCTAACAATCAACATTCTTCTAAGAGAGAAAACGTTTTCAAAATTTGTTCAATATAGTTTAACAGAATGATCAATTATTAACTCCATATATCATTTGTGACCAAAACACAAAAAAAAGACTAGAAGAGAAGTATTTTTCTTTTATTCGATTAGTCTATAGTCATATGTATACGAATAGTCAAATCAACATTGAACTAGGAGAAGCCTTTTAATACACTCAATATGATACTCATTTTCAAGAGGTAATATTGAAAGTATGCAAATCATATCACTGATCAACTAAAATTAAGAAGTTAGTTTTAGCGACATCTCGTATATCCATTGTTCTTAAGTATATAAAATTTGTTGTTGCGATCTTGTTAAAATAACATTGTAATCTAACGTCATTCTTTATATGAAACTCATTTTTCTCAAAAATAAATAAAATATATTGATGAATATACTTTTTGACCTAATGAATTTCTCTTACAATTTCTTGTTCTGATATTTTCATCATATTCAGATGTCGCCTTATTAAGTGCCTTTGATATTGATTCGCATTTCTCACCATACTTTATATCATCCTATCATGTGCTATTTCTTTTATTGTTTGGCATCGCTCTTACTGTATCTACGTTGTTGTTATTTCTAGATTTACATCATATAATACTTTTGTTTCTTTTCTTTTTTAAATCCGATAAAAAAAACGCGCTTGATATTGATTTAATTTTTATTCATCATGTTAAAAATTTTTACATTTACCATTATCTTATTGTCATCACCAATATTTGGCTTATTAGAAACTCTATTTCAAGCTCAAAATAGTTGTTATTCAGGATGTCATTCAAATCATGCTGTTGATTTATCTACTTTGAATGCTTGCAAAAAAGGTTTGTTTATTTAATAAAGAAAAAAATAATAATAAACGAAAAAGAAAAAAAAAAAAACTTTCTTTTTAGGTTGTGATTATAAATTACATAATGAAGATTGTACTGTTCAATGTAGATTACTATCAACTGATGAACCAATTCAAACTAGTTGTCTTTTTGGTTGTTCATCGAGTCATTCATCAGTAAAAAAAAAACAAAATAAAAAGTTTATTATATAAAGTTAGCAATTGAAATCTAATTGTAGGAAATAAAAGAATCAGTTGTAAATGAACGTTCACCATCACTAATTCTTATTCGTCTTCGTCAACGTCCATTATCTGAACATTCATCATTTAACATGGATTCAATGCCGATGTTTATGAATAAGATAAAAACATTAAACGAGAATAAAAATATGATTAAACAATCCAATGAACTGGATGCTGATTCATTAAATGAGGATAATACGTATAAAATTACACATTTTATTATTCATCGAAAAGATAAAATTGAATCAAGAAACAATCGTTTTAAACAATTTCTTGACGATGTTCATAATGAATGGAATGATCTTATTCGTAAACAACCGAAAATTCCAACATGGATTTGTTTTGCCTTTTTACTTTTATCATCAATTATTCTTTGGCGTATGTTTTTCTATTCTTTGAAATATCTTATTTATTTGTCTTTGTTCATATAGATATGATTGTTTCACTTTGTCATCATACACCTAGACATCAAAGATTATCAACTCGTGCTGAACAACTTTCTTTTGATAATACAAATGACAAAGAAAAACTCTAATCAAATGAACAATATACAGAATCATTACCCATTAAAGTTCAATCGACGAATATTTAAAAGAGAAGACACTTTTCTAATCCATGATACGAAAGTCTTAACACAAAAATATTTACTCACTTTTCGACTATTCAAAGACAACTGATTAGAGTTAGAAGCAGTTAAATTTCGCTTATTGTTATATCTCATTTTGTACAGAATTTAGTAATGTTGAGTTGAAGTTATTTCAAGACACAAACTAAAGATTGTGCTAAAACCAATATTTTGCTTTGTACCGACACTCTTGAACTTTTTCACAAACTTTACTGATAGTTGTTCGATTAAGCCTGAATAGAAAAATTTGAACTTATATTCCGGAATAGTGGAAAATTCTGATTCTAACTCTAATCAATTGTCGCCTAGTGGTCGAAATATGAACGAATATTTTATGTCAATATATTCGCGTCATAGCTTAGTTAATGTATATAGATATTTCTTCATTCCAAATCCAGCTAGCCACATATCACTAGATTGTAATGATCTCTTTTTCCTTTTTGCTTGAGTTAGTGTAAACTTTGTATGCGTTTTTGGTTATATTGTTTCATCTCTATTATTATTCTCATGCTAAAAGTTTGTGAAAAAAAAAAAAGAAAAAAGAACTTTTGTTGGAATGATTGTTGATACTTGAACAAAATGAACTGCCTAATGAAAAGAGATAGAAGTTTCCGTTTAATGATATTTTACCTTTGAAGATGAATTATGAACAAAGAAAGTATCACGTTATGCTAGACATTCAAACTTATCAAACGACTAGCAACAAAACTAAGTTAAGTAATTTCAAGAAATCGCTGTTCAGTAATGTCAAGTTCAGTGTAACTACATTTTCATGGCAACCGAGGATAAATGAGTGTCAGAATGGTCTCCCATAATTCCTGAGCAATGATGAAAGATTCTGAACGGAATCGACAACAAAACTTAGATAGTTCTACAACATTCGAAAGTCTTCCTGAAAATTGAAATACGTAGCTGAGATATGTTATTCAATGTTCTAAATAATACTGTTTTTGATTTTCAAGCGGACAAAAATATATATGATAGATATTGAAGATGATGAATAAGGATGTTTTGATTTGCCACAATTATCGTATGATTAACACAAAAAGCTTAAGACTTTTTGTCGATGTAACTAATGTCTACAACAGACTTATGTGTCTATTAAAGAAATGGTTAGAATAATAATAATGAAAGTTTAAAAAAATTAAAGCAAAAAGAAAAATAAATAACAAACGATTCGCAACAAGCCCAATAAAAAGTAGAACAAACGTAAAAAACTAAAAGGAAAAAATTCTGTTTGAAATGTAGCAATGAATAAAATAAATCGCTTGTTCAGAGGTTGGTTATTTTTGAAAAGAATCTATC